TTCAACTACAGCATCACGTTTGACAGTTTTACTTTTACATTTATATAGCATCTAAATATATAGGAAATATATTTTTTTTAAAATCAAGGGTGTGCAGCTGCACACCCTTGCACCATACTAGATACGCCACTGCCGTCACCCATCGCCGGAGTTGGAAGATTCCGAATCTGATTTGAGGAGAGAAGCAAGAGGAAAAACAAGGGTTGCACAGTTGCAGGTATGGAGGAGAAGTAGAAAAGGAATGGGCTTAGGAATTATGAGCATGCCGTATTTATATTACCTCATACGTTAATGAATCCTCTTTGATCAAAGTTTAAAAGTGGTAATTTCTTATTACCTAATGAATAATATGATTAAATACAAAAACACCCCTGTACGATGCTCTTCGTATCATATACCCATGTACTACACATAAATACCAAACATATATATATATATATGAGTTAATTGCATACAACCCCCTGTGTAATTTCGAATTGTCGAAAAAGTCCTCATGTTAAAAATATTAGCGACGACCCCCCTATATTATATTTTATGAAGCACACTGCCCCCTACATGGAAATTGATCGTTGACTCACGTGAAATGACAAAACTACCCTCAATTTTAATTAAGAAAAATAATCGTGAATTAGCCCCAGACCAATCTTCATCTCTTTCATTCCATTCCTTATCCAATTCACAAAACAAACCCTGCAAGAATCAAATATGAAGTTACTACTAACAATCTGCATACGGATCTAATCACAGTAATGTGTCTTCCCTTTTGTGTGTGTGTGTATGAGAGAGAGAGAGAGAGAGAGAGAGAGAGAGAGAGAGAGAGAGAGAGAGAGAGAGAGAGAGAGAGAGAGAGAGAGAGAGAGAGAGAGAGAGAGAGAGAGAGAGAGAGAGGAGAGGAGACTTCAAGGCCCGATCCGCCATGGATAATTCACCCGACTCTTGATTCCGACTTTAAACCCACCGTTGAAGAAGAGATCAGAAGAAGAGGAAGGGTTATGAAAATGAATCGTCACAAATTCCCCGATAAAATCCTCAAAAAAACCCAGCAACATGGACGCACGCACACAAGCACAAAGCAGCAATATAAAGCAGCAACAAAAAAATCGTCTCATCAGCAGCGCCGCCGTGGTGAATTCCAGCCGCAGCGGGGGAGACGGCGGCAATAACAGCTGCTCTAACGGAACCTTGGTGCCAGAGGGAATGAAGGTAAATTACCTCGTCTCTGAGCCTTTGTTTGCGGATCCATTGGAGAAGAATGAAATGAAGTTGTTTTGTTCTTTAAAGGGTCAATATTTGGGGGCTTTGTTTTGATAATCCGACGAAGAGATTGGCCAAGGGTTTTAGATTGAAGAGAGGGTCTTTTTCAAAATAACAGGGACTGAATCGAAAATTCTGTAATTTCTTTTTGGGCATATGAAAATTCCGAGGTGAATTAGTAATTTTCAGAAATTTTCAATTAAAGGATATTTACGTCTTCTCAGGCAAAAAATGCACCTCCACTTGCACAAATCGCGAGTGTATCGCACGTCTAGCTCGCAGGGTCCTTATTTGCATTTGACTAATTTCACAGGGGGTTTTGTGCTAATTGTTTTAACATGAGGGGTTTTTCGGCAATTCGAGATTACACAGGGGTGGTCCTTGCAAAAAACCCATATATATATATATATATATATATATATATATATATATATATATATATATATATATATATATATATAAAGAATCGTTAAACAAATAATTCTAGGGCAATTTACGGCCACCCCTAAGTTATGGTCAAATTACGAAAATCCTTATTGTTTGAGTAATTACAGCCATTCGGCCATTCTCCTCAATTATGTATTATCTTACGAAAAAATCCCTCAAAAGGTAAATTTAGGAATATTAAATCGGTAAAACCGAACCAAAATGTCGGTATGCCAACATTTCATACTGTTCACCAAACTGAATATACGATTTGGTTCGATAAATAACCGAATTACATAAATTTTATGTCTAAATATTTAAAAGGAGGGGTGACTGCAATTACCCAAACAAGAGGAGTTTTTCGTAATATAGAGAGGAGTTTTTCGTAATATAGTCACCCCTTGGGGGTGGCCGTAATTTGCCCATAATTCTATTTATTTTATTTTTATGCTTAAAAAATAATTGAAGAACTTTTATAAAAAAAAAAAAGGAAAAAATTAAGCGACTGGACTTCTAATAAACTAATAACAACCGACAATTACATAGTTTTTGCGCCTAATTGAAGGAATTTGAAGATTTATTATATATTTATTAGTCGCAACCCACCTTCACCAATTCTTACGGCGGAGCTGCGACGGTGTAATTGACCGGCGAACGGTATCAGTAGCCTGCAGTTTCAGGATCTCTCCATTATTCGTTCGGTGAAATACAAACGAAGAACACCTCCAATTGATTTTATTTAAGGTACAATTTTTCCATCCCAACAATTTTTTTTTGTTTAATTCCTTTTTCCTTTGTTTTTTTGTGCTTTTGGTTGTGGATGTAAAGGTTGCTTTTTTTGCCTAAACTTTTCTTAGAGAAAGTTTTCTTACATTCTGATATTTGATTTGTTCTCACAAGTTTAGTGTTTCATCCAAAATTTAATCTTTATAATGAATATGCTGCTGAATAACATTATCAGGTTCTAATTAATGCTGAATAACAATCCTATTTGTAATTTATATGGCATAAGTTTAGGATTGAATAATCTTGTTCTGTTTTACGGTAAATCCTCGTGCTTGTTTGCAGGAACGAAATCCTGTTTCAGTTTACGTATTTTTATGTATGTATGTACAAAAGTTTCAGTTTAGAATTTGGGATTTTGAGTTGATGGAACTTACATGTTATTCTTCCTAGTAAGGGTTCCTAGTAAGGGAGTTTGCCGAAAACTTGGTAGAAGAATGGAGGTAGGAGGAGATATTCACAACCTCTCGTATCAGGACTTGGCTTGTTACACCGATAACTTTTCCGAGAGCAACTACCTCTGCCACTTCCAATTCGGCAAACTTTATCGGGGAAAGATTGTCCATGCTGAATCCACTCTTTTTGTGATGGTCAAGATATGGGAGGATTCCAAAATCTACTGTTATGAACCTGGAGATAATGAATCTAGAATACTGGTATGTTATCCCCGACCGTAAATTTCGACTACTTGTGTAGATATATATATATATATATATATATATATATATATATATATATATAAGGTTCCCGACAGTTGACATACATACTTGCTTTTTACAGGACGAAGTGATTTTACTTCGCCATCATTCGGTGATTAATCATCCAAACATTATAAAGTTGTACGGATTCTGTTATGAAGGTGGTCGTCTTGCTGTTGTTTATGATTTCAATCCATTTGACTCCGTTTATAACCTCGTTCTTAAAGGTATTCATTTTCTTTGTATTCGTTTTCGTATCTGATTGATAGTCGGGCTGTTTTTGTTAACCCTCTTGCTTGACATGTTGTAGGTGTTCAAGTTGGGATTGATATTTTATTTTGAGAATTGTATTGAGATTTTCTCGATTTCTACAATATGCCGATTGATAATGATAATAAGACACCGTAATCGAAGTTTTGAGTTTTATACGCAGATGATTTCACTTGGCTGCAAAGAATCAATGTCCTCGTGCGATTTGCTTCACTCCTCAGTTTTTTGCACACGATAAAGAGTCCGTACAAACCTTTAACACTTCGCAATCTTGATTGTGCTCATATTGTGCTTGACAAGGTATGGTGCAAGTGTTTCAATCCTCGAATTGAATATATTTAGCAAACAAATGTAACAATTAACAAATGTAACAATTATTAATTCAATTCTTTTGCAGGATTATAATCCAAAGTTATGTGATTTTAGTCTTGTAACTGGTGGGATTTTCCCCGACAGGACAATATATAAATGCCGTCGTGTGATTGGAAGCTATGGCTACATGGATGTTGGCGCATGGCAGGAAGGTACTTTTGTTACCCTCTCGATTACTAAGAATTGAAATTCTATTTTACAGCGTTGATATTGATTTTCCGATGAAGAATAATATCACGTACAAAAATAAAAGAGAATTCAATTAGTATGTGTATATCAAAGATTAATTAAAATTTAAAACTAAATATTTCAAGATTTGTATCATTTTTGTTTATATTAATTTGTTTGAAACTGCAACTCGTTTAGAAATTTGTTGCAGATCATGATCCGGATAAGCCAGATGTGTTTGCATTTGGGAATATACTCTTGAGTTTGATTTCAAAGAGAGTTTTCACCGAACAAGACCGGCAAAATCTTTCACCATATGTTTTCAACTGGGCCTACAAAAAGTGTTTGGAATATAAATATGGTTCAGATTGGGACTCGGAGAAAGATGATTCAGATAGTGACTCCTCAAAGAAAGACGATTCAATTAGTGACTCCTCGAAGGAAGATGATTCAGATAGTGACTCGCAGAGGCCCAAGTTTTCGCTCGTCCACCAAAGTCTAGCAGAGCCTCAGAGGAACCCGATTTTGATCCTTCTGATGGGCCCAAGATTACTTCACTCGGATTGGATTGCACACTTGATGAATTCGGTAAGCGCCCCACAATGAAGCAAGTTCGAAGTTTTCTTCTCAATCCTGAAGTTGTTAGGAAACATGCCAGTTTCGCCTCATGTGAAAATGTCCTCTGAGGGGAATTGGGTTTTTGGGAATGACTTTGTAATTACCTGGTGGCCAAATTTAATTTATCCGCAACTTTAATTTTCCCATGGGCCTTTGGGGGGGGGGAACTTGGACCAACTTTTTTTATTTAAA